ACCAAAATTGCATTTTTAGTTTTTCACTCTGACGTCAGTAATTCAAAAATGATTTAAAAAATGCAGAGAAATATGCTTAGAGAAGAGGAACACTGTAGAATTTAAACAGATTCAAGTTTCTGGCAGTGATCGGACTTCTACCACATTGTGGTATATCTGCCCCTATTTTGAGCATCTACCACATCTACCACACAAGGTCTGAAATCTACTACATATTCGCGTACCTAGTTTTATTTTTGCTCTACATAATTTTCTTAATTTTAAGAGCAAAAATTGTCCAACACTAAAGACTACATATATGGTAACAAGAATGATATAATACAAGATTCCGAATTCACGGCGGCCATGAAATTTGTCAATTAAAAGTAAACAGAGCCGAATGGGAGGGTAAAATAAACTGTAAAATAGTAAATTTTCTCAATAATAAATTTTTCGACGGGAAACGTGGTTTCATTATGTTAAATTTTAAAATATATGATTTGTAAAAAGAAAGAAGAAGCAATTTCTTCGATTCAAGTTGTTGAAAAGAAATGAATATATAAATCCCGGGATCCCGGGATTGTGACAACGCCATCTCGAAAGTCCCGGGATCGCAAAAAGCTGAAAAATTAACATTCCTAGTATATATGTATGTATATCTCGCGAACATGAGAAGCCGTGGGAGAGCCATGTGTCCAATTTGCGTACCGTCAAGTTTTGAGGTGGCATTGACGCGCGGCTGTGAGCAATTGTGGTAAATCGGAAGTTAAAGGAGGTAATAAAATTCTGTAATAAAAATCTATGAATGACACATTAAATCAATTGCCAAAAAATCTTAAATAAAGTGACTCTCGTTTGCGATATCTACAAATACTGGTAAATTTATATACGTACATACATATGTGCATATGTATTTTTTTATTCATATATAAACATACACAAAGTGAGTATTTATTTACCTATAAACTTTAGAGTTTGTGATTAAAAAGAGTTCAGCTTTAGTACAATAAATTAAAAGAAATGCCATAAGAATTTTTCTAGAAATACACGTATAAATAAAGTAACATTAACTAAGTCGAAGGACACATCAATAGGCGTTTATATTTTAATCTGGATAGCCAATTTTTTGTAAAACACTTGTCACAGCACTATGGGAAATTTGTAACTTTTTTGGCAAAAAATTATTGTGGTTAAATCAGTAGATGATTAACAAAACAAAAGTATTTTTTATTAATTGTCATATAAACAAAACAAAATATCCTAACCCTTGACGACCGATGGGAAATGGAGAAATCTTTGTGGTAAAAAAATTTTAAAGAGAGAAGCATATATTGGTAGTATCAATCTTATCTATTTACAATTAACCCAGATACGCCCAAACGCCTTCCAGAAGGATTTGAAACATCGTTCGTTAAATTCAATTTTTAAACTTGTGGTAACTGCTAACAAAGTAGGCTGTGCATTTTGTAGGTACAGCTAGAACCAAATATCATTGCTTCATGCTTATTTTTGTACGTTTCCATTTAGTCAGTGAACGTTGTCCAAGTAAATTGTGCTTATATTTGTGATGGCTGAATTGATAGACCTCGTTGTTGATGGGTAAGTCTTATTCTTTTCTATAATAAATTCTGGATATAAGGCTGTGATTTTACTCTAAAAATATGTCCAATATAATAATTTATTCGATCACTAGCCATTTGATGTGAATGATTTGTCCGCTGTAGTCTCACAAATACTTACATCCTTCCAGAAGGATTGCGGGTTAATCCAACTACTTTTAAAAACATTTTTTTGCAGAAGGAAGATTACACTAAATGAGTTGTTAGACATCATTGAAACCGCAGACGACGATGACATTCCTGATAATGGATTAGATGTTGCAGTTTTACCCCCAATTAATTGTAATGATGATGTCACTGATGAAGATTCTGGTGAGGAAGACAATCCTACGATCAACAATTTACATGGCAGTCAACTTTGCGCGGAAGCCGTTCTCCTCAACAAAAAGAATGATCAATGTGTTGTTGAAGATGTCGATGAAACCGATCTACCAGAAGAAGTTGCCTCTACGGTGAATATTGAAGGAGGAGGGCGTAAAAGAACTATCTCAGCATCAGCAAATTGTCCGCCCCCCAAAAGTAAGAAAACTATTCGTTGTTATAACTGGGTAAAAAGTGAAGTGCTGACTTCAGCTAGTACAGGCTGGCCATCAATGGTAACATGCATTCCGGAAAAAGGCAAAACTCCTTTGGACTACTTTCGTTATTTTATTGACGAGGAAGTTGTTAAACTTTTTGTTGAAAACACCAATTTATATGCAGAAAAACATAACAGAGAGGGCAATTGTACAGAAAATGAAATTCTAACTTTCACTGCGATATATATAAAAAATATTAATATTTTTATATTATATGTAAATTACCACAAAAAAATTAAATCGTAATAACAATGTATCTATGTATTTCCTTTGTTTCTAAAAAGGTATGAATAAAGCAACTAGCATATTGAATTTATTTCTTTTACTAAAGAAAAAATGTTATAAAAAGTTATTGTGGTATTATCCCAAACGCCTTCCAGAAGGATGGGGTGTTGTGACCCGGGGGTGGGGGTAAAATCTTAACAAATATAATTTCCCAGTTATTTGAAGGCTACTTAAGCAACATTACACCATACACTTAAAAAAATCCAAAAATAATAATTCGGGTTTATCTGGGTTAAAGCCTCATAAATCACAACTCATTATTTGGAAAAATAACAAGAACAAGACCGTACATGTTTTTATGCCTACATAAAGTTGAAAATACAGAAATAACGCGGTCAAAGGTTCGCATTAAATAAGAGCTAAAGGTTAAATTTAATATGGTTATTATAGAACTCAAGACTATTCAATTTCTCCTTTATTTCCAATATTTTGGTTAATTTCTTAATTTGGAAGCGTGTCTACAAGGGTCAAAATATATTTTAGAAAAACACTTTCTTAAGCAGTAACGTAATTCCATTACCTACACTGAGGGAAATGATGCATAGTAAAAATGAATACTTTATATTTGATTATCGTTTAAAAATGTTCGTATTTAAAAATAATATTTTCATACAAAATTTATCACGCACGTTTTTTATTGTTCACATCTGAGTGTACATACGCACCCCAAGCATGCAGAGCGCCGCTCTGAGAGTGCACTCTCCATGCACCATGGCACGCACCCACGATTGAGAGAATACAAAGGTTGCGCCGATCTCGGACCGCTATTCCTCTCTTAATGAATTTGACAGAATCGTTGTTTGCATGACGTCACACTTGTGCAACTTGTTTACGTTTCCCTTGCAACATTTTTTCTTCTTCTTCCATTCTTGCTCACGTTTTGGCATTTCTCTCTCGCAATTGCACCAGGGTGACGTCACTCAAAAGTTATTCTCCAAAATCCTCTCTGATCGGCGCAATCTTGTATTCTATCATTCTTGGCACGCACCATGGTGACAACACACACATTCACACATACATAGTACATACATGTTTATCCGTGCTGTGGTGTTGATGGATATTCAACATTTGAAAGCGGATTTATATGCCTGCGTGTAGCTGAGTGCGCAAGGATGCTTGCCACAAGTTGCTGATATCCGGAGATGGCCGGGTTCGAATCCCACATGCAAATATTTATTTTTTTTTTTAGTTTTGTCTGATTATTCACTTCACGGATGCTTTTTCAGTACGAACGCGGTCATTTTAATATGCGCGGAATTGAATTGAATATTTACCAATATACAGTACTTTCGTTGACGTTTATAGTAAGATCAATTACGTTTCTATTTGATTTTAATATTTTTTTTCCTCAGTGTACAAAACAAAAAACGGATTGCATCACAAGCGAAACTGGACTTTTGGTCAGATATTTGGCCCATTGCCCCATGGGTCACAGGAAAAAATGATAATTTCAGGTTGTTTGACATGTAAACGGTAGAGTCAGGTTTTCACTATATGAAAATAACCAAATTTGTCGACATATTTTAGCACAAATTTATCTCGTTTATCCGTATCATATTATGGGCAAAAAAACACCCAGATAGCCAATTCGTGAGCGCCTGTACACGACTAAAGACTTATACTGATCGAAATCAGCCGATAATACGCTTTTTAAGCCCATTTGACAATGTGTTTTCCTTTTTTCGACGGCAAATACTATTGAATTTTACATAGTGAAAACAAGCCTTTAGACCACAGCTGGGCAGCGTCTGCCTGACTGGCGACTGCGCTTCGAATTCGCGTATACATACCCTGCAGGGAAAGCTACTAGTTGTGAACTAGAATTCTACCGGTTTGCGTTTCAGCCGAACTAGTTCACGTTCTATCCTTTTTCAATGTTAGCGACTGGTATTTTTAACATTGCGATGTCCTACGAGATGTCAATTGTCAGGCTATGCATCAGCATCTACTAGTATAAATACTAGTAGCATCATACCAGTTGATGAGATAGTCTGCCAATTCATGCCCCGTGAAAAGCATAAGTGTGCCTTTTTGCTCGCGACGCTCCAGCAGTCACAATGGCCGACAGAGCAGAGCACTCGCATGGTTAGCCTGAGGTCCCAGGTTCAAATCCTGGCGCAGGGAAACTTTTTTTATTTTCTATTTTTTATTTTATTTTTATTTTTTATAAATTTATTTTTTTGTTTATGCTGTTTATTGTAATTTTTTAATTTAATAAAAAAAATATTTTTGTTTAATTTCTTTGTTTTTATATTTCTTCCTAAATGTTTTTTTGCAACGCAATTAGATTTTCAAATTTGTTATTTATTTATAAATTGAATAAATTATTTTTACTTACATTTATTTAACTTTAAAAATCTGAACCACCTCCAAGCGGCCTCCAACCTGCGATTTCAGAACCAGAACCAGTATTCTTCACGTGACGCCACAGCCGAGATTTGTAAGAAAAGCAATTAATTGCGTTTTATTTTTGGCTTTGGCAATTCAAAGGCAGATGTCGCTGATCGCCTAAGTTCTTCGAAATTGTCGAACTGGTAGGCACATACTAGTTAATGAACTAGTATTTTTTCTGACTGGTTTGGCTTTTCACTGCAGGGTAAACGCTATACTTGAGAAGGCAGCGAAAGCTTCATTAAACTGCATGACTTCCCTGCAAAAATCACGACTATGCATGCATGTAAAGAGTACTCCCTAAGGGCCAACTAACCACAATTCATATAAAAAATATGGTCCAATTCACATTGCGATGTCCTAGGGCAGGACCATATACTCCAACTCTGCATTACATCAGAGTAGCACAACACTACTCCAACATATTAACAACGGCATTGTTGATATATTTTTTCATTTGTATACGCTTTTGTTCTTCTCTTCACAGATGGTTTTTCGCAATTAATAAAAACTAAAAAATAAATAAAAAATAAATAAACAAAAAATTACATGCTTCCTCTGACGANTTGATATATTTTTTCATTTGTATACGCTTTTGTTCTTCTCTTCACAGATGCTTTTTCGCAATTAATAAAAACCAAAAAATAAATAAAAAATAAATAAACAAAAAATTACATGCTTCCTCTGACGGNATATGGTCCAATTCACATTGCGATGTCCTAGGGCAGGACCATATACTCCAACTCTACATTACATCAGAGTAGCACAACACTACTCCAACATATTAACAACGGCATTGTTGATATATTTTTTCATTTGTATACGCTTTTGTTCTTCTCTTCACAGATGGTTTTTCGCAATTAATAAAAACTAAAAAATAAATAAAAAATAAATAAACAAAAAATTACATGCTTCCTCTGACGGCATTCGAACCCGAACTTGCTGGGAGCTAACAAATAACAGCGAGCACCTCTATACGTTCAGCTACAGCCATGTCAATGTGCTCAACTTAAATCACATTTCGTTAAAACACGAGCAGTGATCGGGTAACAATAAGCTGGTGCCAAGACACGAATTGGTCCGCTACAGCATGACAGACGAAGACGTTTGTAAGTTCTTCAATATACCACAAATAGACTACATGGTCCAACGCTGTTTGCACCTCTGCAATAATTCTTATATGGGTGTTTCCATCGGAAGGTCTACCGCGAAAAAAAATAAAAGTCATATACATACCTAACGTATCTATTGGCCAATTTGTCTCCTTTTTTAAATACATATATCGTCGTTTAAAGTACAAATCATCGTATCGTGATTCTGCAAAACCGCGTAACTGACATTTGCTGGCAAAAATTGGATTTGCTCACACAAGCTCATGGCTCAATGCTTATCCATTCGTCCTGAAATATACTAGCCAGAAATGCGACTGCTTTATAAATAAGGGAACCATTTTGAAAATTTGAAATTGAAATGCATTTGAGTGTTTTTACTCTCTAGAAAATAATTTATGCAACCTCACATATTTTTGCGAAAAATGGTTTTGCTATGGGCGCCAGAGACGAGATGTTTTGAAAACCGTCTTTATGATCCGATTTGGTTCGAATTTGCCATATGTATGTAGTTGAAACATAAGAAATCATAGATTTCTAAAACATTTACCCTGAATTGGCGCTGAAGTCAAAATATAACCTCGTTTAAAGTACAAAACTGTGTATCAAGATAGTGCAAATCCGCTATATGAGGTTGCAAATTAGTTTCTAGAAAGTAAAAACACTTATATTTCAAAAAAAAAGAGCCATCCACAATTCACGTAGTTTTGCGATTTTCTAAGAAAATAAAAAATTAACTCCCACTTTTGTCACATAATTTATTATTACTTCAATAAAGAAGGATAACATATGCACTCCATCTTTGGATGGTATGTATGTACGTAACATGTAAAGCTATTAATTTTTTTGGACGATATTGGTCAGGATACTAGGACAAGGTTATCAAATAAGTTGGTGGTATGTATGTAAATGTGTAAATTTTAACTTAGTTAAAGTCTTTAAGTTGGTGAAAATTGGGCTGTAAGATTCCGTCACATTTTACATATGTACATACATACTTTAATCTCTTTCTGATATTGGTTAAGATGCCGAAAGTGTTTGAAACTTTATTTTATAACTTCTGCATACATATATGTACATTTATAATGACGAAACTATTGTATAATTTTAAAACATGGTCTGCGATATTCATTTGCAATTTGGGAAAGGAATATCA